AATACGCCCGAGAAGATGATGATCTGGAGACTCTGGTAATGTTTTTCAGTTTCTAATTGAAATTATGTCTTAACTAGTTGACCAAATTTAAAGAAAAACTTACGTTTTGAAGGCTTGCTTATATTAAGTCTAACTACATGTGTAGGAACGTGATGTGAGGGAAGAATCCGGATGGAAACTTGTTCATGGGGATGTTTTTCGACCATCCCAAAACTTAGCTCTGCTTTCAGCTGTTGTTGGAACTGGGGCTCAGCTAGCAACACTTGTTCTGCTCGTCATCATTTTCGCAATTGTTGGAATGTTGTACATAGGGTTAGTGCTGTTAAATTAAACGAGTCTGACTCGGCTCGGCTCGGCTCGAGTTTGAGGCCTTAACAAGCCAAGCTCGAGCTCATTTAAAGCTCGTTTTGTTAAGCTCGGCTGGATAAGGCTCGAAAAGAGAATTTTTATATAATTTTTTATAATTCGGCTCGTTAAAGCTCTAGATTGGCTCGTTAAGGCTCGAGCTCGAGGTCTTGACGAGTCGATCTCGAGCTCGATTTCTGGCTTGTTTACTTAATGAGCCGAGTTCGGTTCTGTTCGTTAAGAGTTTGAGCTCGGCTCAGCTCGTTTACAAGCCTACATAGGGTATGCGGAAACCAACTTTTGTATTATTGTATTTAGCACTTGATAATTCCTTCAAATTTGCTCCATAGTCTTCATTGTGAGGAACTAATTGGATTAACTATNTGTTTTTAAAGGTTTTCCAGATAATGAGTGTATATAATAATTATCTAGACATAAATTTTATTCTAATAGAACTTGCTCATTGCTGAAATTTTAGAACTATTCACTTTTATGATTCAGGAGAGGAGCAATTGTCACAACCTTTATTGTATGTTACGCTTTTACATCATTTATTGCTGGTTATGTGAGTGGTGGCATGTATTCACGCAATGGGGGTACGTTAAAGAATGAAAATTTGCAATTATGGGCATGTTTCCCTTAGTTGTGCATGAGTAACAAAGATTATGACATTCTCTTATTTCATGTCAGGTAAAACATGGATAAAGTCAATGATCCTAACGGCATCACTTTTCCCTTTTGTTTGTTTCGGAATTGGCTTCATCTTGAACACGATTGCCATATTCTATGGTTCTCTAGCCGCCATACCTTTTGGCACGATGTTGCTCGTTTTTGTCATTTGGGCTTTTGTTTCTTTCCCGTTGGCACTTCTCGGGACTATTGTCGGGAAAAACTCGAGTGGTGTCCCTAACAATCCTTGCCGAGTGAAGACTATCCCTCGTCCAATCCCGGATAAGAAGTGGTATCTCACGCCTTCAGTTATCTCTCTCATGGGAGGTTTGCTTCCTTTTGGCAGCATTTTTATTGAGATGTATTTCGTCTTCACGTCCTTTTGGAATTACAAGGTACCTTTTGTTTTGTTTGACGTGCTTTTTTTTTTTTAATTCG